GAAGGGTGTAGAGTTAGAAAACTTTAAAGTGACAGAATAAATCTCCCAACTTGGTTTATTGTTTTAAGTTTTGATACGAGATATTAGCCCCCAGGTGGAGGGAACCAAAAGAACTCTAGAGTGAGAGCTAGTATCTTCCTTGCCTAACTGATCTTCAGAACTATTCAAACTTTAAATTAACCAATGTTCTTTATAGCTTATCTAGAAAAGGTAAAAAATAATATTACTCATATTTGACACAGCACAATTTGAATACTTCCACAATAGAATTCATATACTTATTATTGATTCATGATAAGCAGAAAGATATTTCGTATTTAGTGTTTTTCTTTTACATAAACTCAAGTTATCTTTAATAAGTTTTTATTTCATTTTTAAACATTAAAATTACCCAAAAGGGATTAAATTTCATTCATGTGATAAAAACTAGTTTAAGTATTTATATTTTTAAAGTAGAAAGTTTGTTACTTTAATTATCGCATACTGTGAACAATCTCTGTGGGTTCAATATTCGGGGCTTAATCAAAAAATCATATATTACTTGATAATGATATGTATACTTGCGTAATATCCCAATATGTATTAAATTAAAAAGTTAAATTCTTATTTTCTTCATAATCAAGTTTTTGGTACTGTTGCAAAGTAATGAAAGACAAGTGAAAAATATAATCAAATACCATGTTATACTGTTGCATATAAACAGTCGGAATCACCCAACATAGATTTATACTTAGGTGGCGTCTAGTGCGCTTAATGTGTTAGTGGCTTCCCTTACCCAGATTGGGTGTAAGTCATTTGTTGGGAGTGTTTCCAACTTTATAGCCGAGCCTCCCTTTCTCTTCCTTTATAATAGCATCCTTACAACTTTGACCGGTATAAGTCCCATCTCTTGGAGCTTAACTTGATAGTCATATAATAGAATTTCGTTCATTCGATCTTAGGCCTATTGAAGTCCCCACGGATGATATAATTTATAAATTGATGACCAGGGATTTTTGGACGTGTTGGGACGACTAACTTCATGATCTGGTAGATATAAGGTCATAGTGGCTTGAGATGACGGGTCTGTGGTCCCCGACCTAACTACCTCTATCTGTTAAGGATTATTCGCTTCCTTTGACCACCCACTTTAAGCCTTATCACTCCTCTTGTTGTCGTCGATATTATTTTGATAGCTTGATTACCGACGAGTGCCGTTCGTTTGAGATACTACAATTTGATCTCTACCCTTATGACTCGAATGTGCTTTGACCTATCGGGTTCCCTATCAGGATGATTTGGTTATTTTGCAGCCACCGTATGTCGATGAGTCTGTTACTCATTTTAGACTGTGAGATACTCACTTTGTTCTTCGCGCCCTTGCGAGAGCTTTGAAAGCATCAGAGTATTCCTC